GGCCTGCGCGGGGTCCTGCGGGCCTCCCGGAGACCGAGCGGGCCAGGCCGACTGGGGCGCGGGGAGGAGCGCCTTGGGTCACAGTGCTGAGGTCGTTTTCAGGCCCTTTGAAGGGGTATCTCCAATAATGAATTTGAGGTCTTAGTATCACTTTCTCTCAGTCTAATTTCTGGGAGCCCTTGGATCTGGGACTGCAAGATATAAAAAAGGCTGCAGTAGAAACATCAGGACTTTTATTCAAAAACAGAGAATACCTGTTTTTGAGTGAGCAATCACCAAAACGAAAACAATCCTATCACACTGCTATCTGAGGCACGGTAGCTGGAATTAAAAAAAACAGACTTGAAGTTGTGCGTGGTGGTTCATGCCTGTAATCCCAGCACTCGGGAGGCTGAGGCAGGAGGAGTGTCGTGAGTTTGAGTCCAGCCTGGGCTACATAGTGAGTTCCAGGTCAGTCTCAACTACATAGTGAGACCCTGTCTCAAAAAACCAAAATCAAAAAGAAAAAAAAGACGAACAAAGTTTTCTTAGCCTGAGATAAGCTCATTAGTATAAATATAAAGTAGTAACTTTAAAGGCCTTGTTTCTCAACTAGCACTGTTGACATTTAGAATTGATAGTTCTTAAGGGGGTTTATCGGATACATTTATAAGATACTAATGTTCATCGCTGACCTCTATTCTCACTAGATGCGGTGGGCCCACCACCTCCATAGTATGACAGTTGAAAGTATTTCTAGATATGGCCAAATAGCTGGGGAAAAGTGTTCGTTAAGAAGTACACTGCCTTAAAAATAATGCGGACACTGTCATTTGATCTCACCCTGTTGTACCCAAGTTACCAGAAATACCTTGATTCTCTCATCAGCCTCTGGGAGATGCCATGTATAACTATTGCCTAAATCTGTCAGACCCAAACTGATATTTATGCAGATCTTACTCCATTCCAGTGATGTTTATGCACGTGTGCTGATTTGTGCTAATGAGAGAAACGTACCTCCTCTAGACTGACTGATTACAGACAAAACACCTAATCTGAGCGGACTAATTATAAAAATGTTCTTTCCAGGGCCTGGAACGTAGTTCAGCGGCACTGTGCTTGCCTGGCAGGTGTGAAGTTCTGAGTTGGATCCCTGGTACCACTGGAGCCCTCTGTAATGGAACAGGTTAGAGATTAGCGATTAGCCCGGGCTTCAGAATTCAACAACTACCTCTGCATTTCTACAATTTTCTGCCGTGGCTCTGAATTTCTACTTAGAGTTCTTTACACAAGTTTTTAACTTTCAGTCATATTATCTGTGCTTCCTGAGATTGGCCTTTTCCTGCTTAACTTAATGCTGCAGTCTCTTTACTAATGGTGCATTAATAGAATAGCTATTGGATGGGCACGTTCACTCTTATAAAGGGCCAACAGTGTTCCAAGCAGTGCGTCATTGTATTACTAGCAAAGTAACGTTAGTATGCATTTTACGGATAAATTGCACTTCTTAAGAGTCCAACTACTAGAGTAATAATTGGAGTAACTTCTGTAAATGTTTCAGGAAGGCATCAGTGCATACGATATTCTAATAACAGAATTAGACTATCCTAATTGATAAAATCATTTTATGGATAAAATGCTCAAAATGACCTCATAGGAGTGTGCTAAATAAAATTTAAGCACTTTGTCTTAGAATTTAAATTCCAAGCAATTCAAGAAGTTAGAATATGAAGTATTGATGAATATGTTAATATACTGCAGAAAGCTCAGTGGGTTAGCAAAACAAAGACCTGACAATCTCTCTAGTGAGCAGCAACATCTGACAAGCTGATGACACCTTTTATTCTGAGCCATAATCTTCACTTCTCTTGGATGTTACTCTCTCGTATTTCTTTTTCTGCTTTATTTTCATGCTCTTTCCTTATGTTTTCCTCATTCCCTGAACCCCTTAAATATTTAAGTACAGCAGGGCTCAGTCCTCACACCTGTTAGCTTGGGGCCCTTGGCTTTGCTGTCTCTGTACCTTTCATTGATATCATTCAGGGTCTCAGCCCTGAGCTCCAGACTTCATTGCCTCCTCTGCCACATCCAACATAACCAAACACAATTTGTGGTTTTGCCCCATTCCTGAAAAGTCTCATTCTTATGTTAACTTCTAAGCAAACGAAAATCTCAGTTTAGTCCCTGAGTACGATAACCAAGGCTTTAATCTGTTAATTTTCTCCTTTTTCTAACCCACCTCCGGTCTTATTAGCAAGACCAACTCCTGTCATCCACACCAGTGCTGCAACCTGAGACTGTCATTTGACTGCTACTCACTATAAATGGTGACCACTGTTTGACTTTTGTACCCGTTTACTTCATTTACACCATTTACATTGGTTTTTGAACTACATTTATCATATGACAGAGTGGTAATATAATTTTAGACTATGTTACAGTACTCATCAAAAATTCTTTAGTTTACAGAACAAATCTCCAGAAATCCATATGTTAAAACTAAGACAACAGAACCTTAAAAGGATTTATTATAAATACAATTTAAGAGCTTAAAGGAAAGGATACTGATGAGACAACAGACAGGCATTATCAACAGAAATAGAAATGACGATAATAACCAAATATATCTTGCAAAACTGGAACATACAAGTGGCAGAAAAGTGATTAGTAAAATTGTAAATAGATGAACAGAAGTTGTCTAATATGAAGAAGAGATTGTGAAAATATGAAGACACATTTAGTAACTTGTAGGACTAATAAATAATCTAACCTATGTGTGATTGGAGTTCAAGAGGGAAAAGCAAGACAGAGTCAAGCAGAAGGAATATTTGAAGACATACTGGCAAAAAAAAAAAATAGCACTTCTTATGAAATCTTCAGCATTCTAATTTTCGTCTCAGAATTTGCTTTCCAGGGAAACAAACCTGTGAAGTTTGTTGCTAGGAGTGTCCAGAGAAAGCCAAGGGGATGGGATTTTAAGGTGGGATCACTCACTATGAGAATGATAAGGAGTAGCTCGCCACCAGTCCCTGTGGTGTGCAAACAGCCCATTGCTAACACTCTGATCAGTAGTAAACTGTGACTTTATACTAATTTGAAGGGATGCTGTTACTGTATCCAACATAGCCAAATTTGGGAGAAATGCAGATTATAATAGAGGTAGTGAGGATTGGTAATGATATAATCCTAGCACTCGGGTGACCAAGGCAGGAGGACCAAGTTTGAGCCAGGCCTGGGCAATTTTAGTGAGGCTGTGTCTCAAAATAAAAAATATTAGGAAGTGTAGTTCAGGGTGAAAGCCCTTAGTTCAGTCTCAGGTACCACAAGGCAAGGACAAGAACAAGGGAAAGAAGCAGCGGGGTAGATGGGGAGGGAGGGAGAGGAGTAAAAGAATTGAGCAACAGTTGCAGAGCTTGACTGACATTTTAGAAAAAGATGACAAAAAGACAATTGGCAACTAAAAGCTAAGCATGAAAGCTAGAAGGCTTTTTTTGGCACCATCGAAAGTCCCTTCTTTCAGTGGGAAGACGAGAAAGCTGAGAACTTAGACCAGGATTTGCTAATGAGAGTAGCGGAGTTCTAAAGATGGTGAAAGTCTTGAAAAATGCGTATTTGTTCCTCCATGGTATAAGCCATGGTTGAGAAATCAGACCATAAAACCTGCTTTGAGCTTAGTGACTAGCATTTCTGTATGTCTTAAGAACAATACAGATATTTTCCCCAGAAAGACATTAGCCCACCTATAATCTTTACCTGCCTTCCCTCCTGGTACCTATGCACAGATAGGGTTAATTAACCACAGAACCCATTTATAGAAATACTTGGCATGATTAGGAAGGGAGGGACTGTATCCCAAAGAAACTCTAAAATCTAATTAGTACATGCCAGCAGTAGCTAAGGGATTATGTATGCTACAGTATGTGAAGAAACATGTCCACCAAAAGAATTGCGTATAAATACTCACACATATAAATTCACAGTATCTGAAAACTGAAAATGACTCAATATCCCCGAGACTCAATATATTCACGTAATGGAATAATAAGCAGAACTGAAAATTAAGAAGTAATCTTTTGTATACAACAGCATGGATAAATAAAAAAAAAAACTATAAAGTCAGACACAAAATAACACATAAAATTCCATTCGTATTAGACAGACAAAAGGAAACTCGTGATAAAAATCAGAAAAAGGATCACCTATAGGATGGCTGAAATGATTGGAAGAGCTCACAGAATTTTTTGGGATCGTAATATTTTATATTTCAGTGTTGTACTTAAAATCTGTGGATTTTAATGTGTATAAATTTTACCTTAAAAGTCCAATCCAATGTGTGTCTCCAGTTGTAATTTTTCCAATCACTTGGTACTCCAGCCCCACTCTGCCTTGTCCTTCAGCTTTGCTACTTGCCATTCTGTCTGCCAGAAAACACTCTTCTCCAAACAGCCCACAGCTTTTACTTCCTCACTTAATTTAGCTCTATGTTAATCTGTTCCTCAAATCAAAGAGGGCTTCCTTAATTGTGTTACCTAAAATACCAAATACTAAGATTGCAATGTATCCCTCTTTCCTGTTTCATTTTTCTTCTCTGTCTTTGCATTTTTTTTTTCACCATTTGTACATACTATGAAGGTAGAGACTTGTTCTTTTGTTCACTGCTTTTCACAATCTCTGGAAAACTTACACTACCAGTATTTGTTGAAGAGTTGTTATACAGAATATATCTTCAGCTAGCTACATTAAAAAAAATCAAAGTTGTATTTAGCCAAACATGCTATTGTAAGTGATTTTTTTGTCTACCTTGTAAATTCATCCTGGGATTATTAGATTTACCCACCAGGCTCCAAACAAGATTGTCTACCTCCATTTGTATTTTTCTGAAACTATAATGAGACACAAAAGAAAATCAAATAATGAAGCAGTTTGTTTATCCTTCTCCAAGGGGAATTCTGACAACATTTTTCAAAGAAAGAGTATTAAGATAGAATTTTATATACAGATGGAATGTGGTGAAATCCAGTGATACCAAACACATTTTAGAACCAGGATAGACCTTATAAATGCGTAGTAGAGATTATATAGCAAAAAAGTATTGCTAGGATGCTTATTATTATGTTATTATAATGCCACTTGAAGCTCTTTGCTTGATTTTTTGCCTATTCATCTGTGACTATCTCCTTCATGTTATTCAAACGCATTAATAAAATGAAATCATTGTTTTTATCTATTCAATAAATAAGTACATGAACTAAAGATTCTGTGGTAAGAAGGATAATTCTTTTTTATGGAGTTTAGTCTCCTGGGTCGGGTAGGCAATAAATATAAACAAGTAAATGAGATAACTCAAGTTATTGATAAGCCTAAGAAAATGTCATAGAGCACAGCTGAGAGGGATAAAGGTTGCAGGATCGTTTAAATAGATGATCTACAAACTACGTTCTTTAGCAGGCATTTCGAACTAAGATCTGAGTGGTAAGAAAAGCATCCCAGAAAGGAACAAGTAGAGGGTCTTATTAACAAGGCCAGTGGATTTGAGGAATGGCGTGGTTGTGGTCAGGACACAGTGATTTGCACAAAGTGAGACTTAGAGAGATGAGCTTATGGTCATATCCAGTAGAACTTTGAAAGGTACCAAAAAAATTATTTTTTTTCTGAATGGAATGATTTAATCAAGGAAATGACATAACCTAGTTTATGACTCCAAAAGACCCATCTTGCTACTCTGCAGAATTGCATGTAGGGAGTCAAAATACAAGAAGGGAGACCAGCTTGGTCCGTTTTTACAGGTAAGACTAAATGGCATGTTATTGTAGGTCAGTGGCTCTTGCTTGGCCTGTGGTGATTTTTGCACCAGAACATATTTAGCATTGTCTGGAAACATTTTTGGTTGTCATAATTGGGAACAAGGGTGCTACTGGTATCTCTTATTTAAAGCCAGGGATGGTGCTAAAAACTCAATAATGCATAGCACAGCTCCCTACAATGAAAACTGATTCCATCCAAATTATCAGTTGTGCCAAGGTTTTGCTTTTTTTTGTACCAGGGATCGAACTCGGGTTTTTGTCCTTGCGAGGCAGGCAGTGGCACCACTGAGGTAAATCCCCAGGCTTCAGCTGTGCCAAGGATAAAGAACCCTGCTCCAGAAAATGAGTGCTATAAATGGGAATGGTAGATGAATGTACCATT